TATGAAGAGGTAGAAATTCCTGCAAATTTCTGCACAGGTATGACTTATTTAATAAGAAAACATTGGAACCCCAGGATTTGAGACCTATAAGGTGTTTAAATGGCGTATACAAGCTATTAGCGCCTGTCATCAGAAACAAGTTAATTGACTACATTCAAGAAAACGACATCCTGTCAGTGGCACAGCTTGGTAAAAAACCAGGCTCAAGAAGATGCAAAGAACTTCTGTTGATAGATTCGTTTATTACAGCTCAGGTTTCAAAAAGATCTCACAATATTGGTTTTTCTACCTTAAAGGACTCGATTCAGTTCCACAAGATTGACTTTTGGAAGTTCTGAAGATCTATAAAATATACTAGACAATAGATTTGTTAAAACGTTTAATGCAAATTTGGAAGGTATCGCTCTGCACACTGAATTGGAATGGATTAAGTGCCAATGAATAAATACCTATAAAAAGGAGTATTTTTCAAGGTGACTTCCTTAGTCCCCTTTAGTTATGTTTGACACTCGATCCACTCAGCAAACTACTGGAAGATACAGGTAAGGGATACCATCTCAATTCTAAAGCGAAGCTCTCCCATTCGTTCTATATGCGTGATCTCAAGCTTTATGATTCCTCGACGATTCCTCTTTCTAGCGTGGGAAGAGTATCCAAGCACTGTTCAGAGTTTAATGTTGAGAATCTTATAAGACAGCCTAAGACAGCCGGTCTTATAGGAATATACGACACCGAGGCACCGCGCGCACCACCTGCAGATGTCGAAGGCTGAATATCCAATCCCTCCGAAGCAGCCCTCACTTCGGATTCGTCCGAGGGCTATTTTACCCTAGTTCGCACCATTTTGATGGATAGATACATTTTATACCTGCTGCCAGGTCATCCTAGCGGAGGTAGCCCTAGGGTATGTACTGTATGTATCCTTAGTGTTAGTGTAAATGACTTAGTGGACTGTTGTGTGTGTCTTTGTAGATAATGTACTGTATTCAGGAAACCGGGGGATCGTAAAACCCTAGCAACTGTACCAATCAGTTGCCCCTTGCGTTTATTATTAGTATTATTATCATTTGATTCAATATTACTAATACTTCTTACATATTCATTTTCTTTCTTTAGTTTTGTTATTTTTCCATCTCTTATGCGTATATTTTTTATTACTAAGTCGTCGTCTTCTTCAAAATTCATTCTCATTCCGATGCTTCTTATTGTTCCAATACCGAGTAATAAATTAAAATTGTTATTAAATTCAAAAATTTTACATTTCATTAATAATTCATGTTCCAGACCTATCTGGGTGTGAAATCTATGAAGATCAGTCCATGTCCCGGCTTGCGACCATTGGAAGTGTTAATAATGAAGTCTTCCGGGAATATTTTAGTTCGGTCGGGAACAGAACTTGATTATATATAACTAATTTGTGAACCTGTATCAACCATCCATTTGCTTCCAACTAAGTCCGTGAATTCAACCAAGTTATCATTTAAATTTAAGTCGTATTGTTCGGTAGTTCCGGTTTCGGCCTTCCGACATCTAAAAACTGATTAAATTTGTCTTCTAAGTTAGCGAGTCTTTCTTTCAATTCATAATTTTCTTCGACTTTTTTTAAAAAGTCTTTGTGGAGTCTATAACTGTAACAACGAGTTCGCCTTCCCGCTACCAGGCAACGCCCTACAAGCTCGCCCGTGTAACATATCCAAAATTGTATCTTTTGTTTCTTATTGTTGTATTATAAAATACTTAAATTGTAAATTGAAATATGCATTTTCATTGTAAATACCTTTTTATTAATAAAGTTCAATGGCGAAAACATATACTGAACAAAACTCAAAAAATGACTGTTATTGTTACGGCTCTTGGTAGCCGGTTTAGTCTTGGCGGAATGAATACCCCAGTCAAATCTCAAATTGTCAGATCTTAAGATTTCCACCCCTTCAGGGTGTAGACTTATGTGCAGATGGTCAGTATATGTACCATTTACGCTTTTGGTTCACCTTAGTCTGTTCTTCTTATTTAACATTATCCTGAAACCTTTATCCTCTTATCTTACTCCATGTAAGTAGGACGCTGATCCATCCGCTTGTAGTCCTATATACTAAGTCAGGAGATTGATCCCTCCGTTAGTATTTCATCCTCCCACAAGTCCTGAGATTGATCCCTCCGGTTTTGGTTAGCATCCTTGCGGAGTGTTAAGCTTGATCTCTTACACCGCAGGCTGAGAGTGATTGGGTGCTGATCCGCCTGTCACTTTAGGTCATCTATCTACACATCTTCCTTCATCCACTCAGTCGTCTTACCCACAATACTGAACACGCACTGTCGAGGCCTTCTGGTAACTGCATACTCTCTGCACACATACCTCGACATAGCCATGATTATTATGATCGTTATTATTAGAGTATGTTCTCGTCTTGACATAAATAATGTTTGGTTTATTCAATTAATTCTTTCTAAAATATCAGAACACCAGTTTAGGATACCGTTCCTAATTTGATTTACATCTGCTAAAATCATAAGATTTAAAAAATCTGTTAGGTCTGAGTGTAAGTTATGTAAAATGTGACTGTTAATTTCCCTGTCCTGGCATTTTATCATTGCATCTTTATCGCTAATTTCGTCATGAAATTTTATTCTAGAAAATATTAATGATCTTATTTTAGCTATTCTGTTTATAAATTCAATTGGATGCTCTTTTTTATAAGCATACGTTATGCATTAATTCGCGTTTTAGTTGTTCAACAGTCCGTGATTCTTTAAATTGTTGTGTTAACTATAATAATAATGATTCTGCTGTTTCAAATGAATTTGTTAATAGGCAATCTCTAGCAAAACCAATTAATTTAGATTTAACAGTAGTAAATAATGATGAATGGTTTTATTCCCTTAATGCGTTATTATCAGTACATACATTATTATAAATCTTTCTTTCTTCATTGACAAAAAAAACTATATCGTATGGATTCCCATCAAGTTCCATTAAATGTCCATAATTTTCCTTAGTCATTTGATATGTTACAGACATTTATTTCCAATTACATTGTTATGACCATGCTTAGGAATGAAATATTTCTGTAATGTGTTATATACATATAGTTTATTATTTATACTACTAGTAGGCCCGTGTGAAAAATTTGCACAGCATATAGTTATCAAATGCCAAATTAATAAGAAAATAAAATAATGCCACGTATCAAAAGATTAAGAAATCAAATGTTACTTTATCGATAAATATAATCGACAAAGGAAACAAAAATTAATTTAAATCTTCATTAATGTTTGGAACCAATATGCCTACAAATTTCAATAAGCTGTATCTTTTCTAAAAATAGTTCGGTTTCGATGATTATTTTTTTTTTTCATTTTGTTGGGAATTTAGTAATATTTTAGGTACTTTTAGTCTAGCAGGCCGGATTGAAACCTCACCTCTTATCTATCTTATCAAACGTCACGTCACATAACCTCCCTCATCTTATCCCCTTTCAGTTATTGCATTGTTTAGTTTTCAGTTATTCCCTTATTACGTTCACTTATTAAATTGTTTACTTTTGGTCCGTTTGTGTTTATTTTTCATTATTTTTAGTTTTTGGCCCGTTTGTGTTTATTTTACTTTTTTTTTAGTTTGTGGCCCCTTTGTGTTTCTTTTCGTCATATTATGGATCTTCTTAGAATATGGAATTTGACGCCTTCAGAACAGGCACTTCAATATTTTTAAAATGTTGGGGTACTTGCCGACTTGAATCGACGTGTGATCGAGGTCATCGAATGAAGTCAACCAGGAAGGCCAAATGGAGATGCTTTCGTAGGACTTATGACACAAAACTTTCAATAAGGAAAGGAACATGGTTGGAGGGCTCGAGGATTTCGTTTTTAACAGCTTTAAAATTGATTTATGGATGGTCCCTTAGCTTGACAACGATGAAGTGGGCCAAAGAGCAGCTGAAACTATTCAACAGAGCTATGGTAACGTGGAACAAATGTCTAAGAGAGGTTTGTGCCCATGACATGTTATACAGGCCAAGAAAAAAAATTGGAGAACCTGGCAAAGTGGTTGAAGTAAAAGAAAGTCTTTTTTCTAAACGAAAAAATCATGTGGGGAGAGTTTTATCTCAGCAGTGGATGTTTGGTGGAGTTTGTCGAGAAACAGATGAATGTTTTATCTTTTTATAAAACCGATTTCGTTTTATATTTTTTCTTTTCTATGTAAATATGTTCTTTTAAATGTGTTTTTTATTATTTCATTTTGATGTTTTATATGTACATATCTTCTTAAAGTGTTTTTTTTATTATTTCATTAATACATGTGTCGTCAAATAAAAGTATTTTTTTTGTTATTAAATTTGTTTTTGTATCTGTTTACACTTTCAATAATACGAATTTAATACAATAATACGAATATATGAAGTAAAAGAAGGCTTATCAGTGCTTTATGGGAGTTATCAGTGTTCAGGTTATTTAATTCGATATTGACTCAATAATATTGTCCGTGCAAGGGCCCCTTAACAAATATTATCCAAATAACTTGAAAAATTAATCAAGACGTTAATGAATCCAAAAATTAGCAGAATCTATAAATTCAGCTCATCTCACTTTTATTTGACCTCATGAAAGATAAAATAAGAATCGGAGTGTGGTTGGGTTTCCAATCCTTCAATATTAATCTATAAACATTTTCAGGTCCCCCCCCCTTTTCATGCTCTCTGTTATGAAAATTGTTTGCTTTTTAAATGATGAAAACTGTAGATAATTTTTTTACTGCTTACCATAAAATTCAATATGCTTTAAAATAAATATCTTATTATTTTAAATTAGCATACATTTTACAAAAATAGTTCCAATTAACTAAGTTCGTTCTAATGGATATAAAACGCAATTTTAATACATATTTAACCACCCAAAGCATAGTCCTTAACATTATAATTAAACATTTTACATATTTATCATCGAATTAATATATTTTGAATTCTATGGTAGTACTGATATAAACTATACATCGTCATAAATTTCAAGCATTGCGGAGTAAGGTTATTGAAGAGAAGAGCAATGTATAATGGAGAGCTTTGCGATATATGCGGGTGTATTTATGTCTAATTATAAAATTGGACAGCTTATTAAAAACGATGTAATTTTTCTTTTTCATATGTAACTGTGCACAATTACTAATAATTAAAAATGGATCCATGGCCTCAGCAAAGAAAGGAACCGAAAGCACCAGATAAGAGCATTGAAGCCCTTAATAATAAGGACAGTAACATTATAATGAAAATAAAATCAGAGTCATCCTATGCAACCTGTGGAAAAACAGATAACTACACTCCAAGAGTTTTGGTATGTTTTTATTTTAAGATTTATTGGAAAAGTATTCTAATAGTAGTTTATCTTAGGTTTCCATTGATGAATATGTATGTATCTGGAGGTTTGAGTTTATTTGTTGTTATATTTTTTGGTTTTCATGTTCTGGCTAGGTTGTTTTAATATTTATTGGGTTGTTCAATAGTAACAAGATATAACAAATTCAAAATAACAATAGAATACTACTTCAGTTTTTATATGAATCATCTGTTTCTTCTTTTCTTAGCTATTACTTGAGCTCACACTTATTCCATATTTTTGATACATTTTGTTTGTTACATGTTTGTGACATGGTTATTTTTTCTTACTGCCTTGTTTAGTGTTGTGTTTTTTAAGTTTTTTTGAGTTACGTTTTATGTCAATGAGAATTGACTTTTATAAACTAATATTTAACCTTGTTCCATAAATCTAACATTGCCTTATTACTTAGAAGTTCTTGTTAAAAATTAAGTTAAAAATGTAAATTTATCATTAGTTTAAATTTTTCTTTGTTGCATGAAACATTTATTCAGGTAAGTGTGCCTTTTTTTATGTAGAAAAAAATATGAGCATACTTTTATCAATTTATTGTTTATTTAATCATATTGACAGATTGACAACAAAATCATTTTATTTTTTTAATATAGTTCTATGTTTTTCAAGTTTATAAATTCTGAATAAATATTAATGTTTTATGTTATAAGTTTATAAATACCATTAGAAATTGTTTGATTTCTTATAGTTTGTTATATGTCTTAATGAAAATTAAAATAAGTAGCTCATATTTGTTTATTAATGTTAAGTATAACTTATTCAGATTTTGAAATATATTATAATAATCTAAAACCAAAATTCTGTTCTTGTCGTTCTTTTAGACAAATCTAAATGTTTGTAATTTAATTATTTTTGTTATTTACTTTATCAAGGGGAGGTTACGGACTGATTTCAATGAAACTTCTTTTGATGATACAAGGTCGAATAATATTAGATCCATGTTCGAGGGTTCTTATCAATGTGCCCTAGGCCGAGAAAAAAAAAACAAATATCTCTAATATGGAAAAAAAAAATTACCTTATGTTTTTTACTGTATTTGACAAGTTAACTCTTGATTGCTTCGTTCTACGATTATGTCATGAGGAAGAAAGTTTTAATAATTAAATTTTTTGTAAGAATATATATTTATATGATCACGGTAATTTGGTGTAAGCTAAATATTACCTGTTGACCTATAAGTAATAGTGGACTAGTTAATGTATCAATTGGTATGACTGTATGGGATTTGGATCACTGAAATTAAATATATTTATAAATTCAAAATTATATTCAACAAATGATTATATTGAATGTAATGGATACAACAAAAAAATGAATTTGTGCACTTAATACGCTTTTTGTTAATCTTGGAAAATGAAGGCAATATTGCTGATGGTAAAATTACAATTTTGTAGATTGGCCTTGCAGAGGGAAGTGGGTTTGCTTCAGAAGAAAAATTTTATTATGGTGAATTTGGACTCACTTGGTGTTTGAAATTGAGCTTCATTTCTTGGCCTCCTCTTCTTCCCCATACTTCCTCCAACAGGCTGCTTCCCTTAGATTTAGGAGCTCATTTTTCTATGGTAATTTCTGTTGAAGAATAAAAGAGTGTGCACACTTAACTGATGCCTGGGATTAGCTGTCTAGGAACATCTTACTTCAAAATGGAGGCCAATAAAAATGGTGGTCAAGTCCAGAAATATTTAGCGTTGTTTCTTCATTTGTTTTTTGTGTTTCAGAGGTTGAATCCTGAAAAACCGCCTACCTAAATCAAGTGTAGCTGATTTAAGATTTTGAATGTCTGAATGTGACAAGTTGCATAACCAAAATATATAAATACATCGAGAAACTGATGCAATATTTATAAACATAAGAAATGTGCACAAATGACTTAGTTCTAGTACAAACAGTAACAAATAAAAAATGAACTTATACTTAGCAAATACATGAAACAAGTACACGGTGGGCCAGACCTCCCTACCATGCACCCCCCCCTCTCCCCAACATCCCTATAAATTGCATATCGTTGTGTTCCTTGTAACTATTTATTAAAAAAAGCTTATGTTCCCACATAGAAAAGTGAACGAACTGCCCTAAAATGGCGTCCAAATATGGCAGACTGACATTTTTTACTTTAGTTAGTTTTTGGTCTCTGAGAATCAGCATTTGGCTTAATTTCGTCATAGTTGGTCTTTTATTAAAGCTGAATAGTCAGAGAATAATAAAAAAAATATATATATATTTGGCTTAGGCAATAAAAAACACCAGTAAATTCAATTTTTTTAATAAAAAAATTGTCAAGTTGAAAATCAAGCGTCATTTATAATTAAACGGCCAACAATAACGCAAAGCATGCTAAAATAAAACATCTGGAGAATATATTTCTCTTTCTAAAATGCGCGAAATGGTTTCGTAGAAAATGCACTTAAGCGGCAGAAAAGCGGTACTGGTGTAGGTGCCTACAAACCTCTATCAAACCATTCAGTACTCATAAATGGCTTAGTTATAGTGCTATAATAACGTTTTTGGTGCATTATATTGATTGTATTAATGAACAAATATTAATGCAATAATTTAATTGTAAAAAAAAATTGAACAATTTTTATTTAATTTTGTTATTTTTTTTTAATTTAACTTCCTTTATTCTATACGGAGGTTGTTTAAGATCTCTATTGTAAAAATGATATAATTATAATAATAAAACTTAATTCAAAAACACTTTGCTGAATATATTGAATTTTTTATTTAATATTTGCAATTTAACAGTTTGTTTTGTATATTTACTGATTCTTAGAGGTAATTTAAATTGTATATACTTCCCCGCAAATGAGTCATATTAATACCTGTTTTATAAACTAAAATAATATGTACCTAATCTGATCTACGTATAATGAATAGCTGCCGGGCTGTTCAGTAAAACAGCACTTAGTAAAAAAAGAAAGATTTGTTAAAAGCAATTGGCAAGTCAGCTGGTCTGCTGGTCAATAAAGCAAGAAACTTCCCAACCAAAGAAAAATTTAGGGGAAATTTATTTTGTTTAGTTAGTTACTTCCTGAATATAATATTATTTACGCTTCATTATCGTGATAGGAAAACTTATAAGTTCTATAAAGTATTCTCCCCTGCCTGAGACCACCATAAATCTAGAGCTATGTAATTTCCAATTTATAAAATATATACCGTAAGATAGGGTAACTTTGGGACAGTGGGCAAAATTTATTTTGTGGTGATTCTGTGGCGGAGGTTCAATCTGAAAAAAAATGTGCATTTTGTAGGCATGTACTGCGCTACTACCTTGCGGAAGTTCACTACTCTCGATATGCAGTTAGGTTTTATTTATTTCCATTGCTTTTTTTCAAAATTCTTGTTTTCATGAAACTTTCGCTTGTGCCTCAACAGTAGTGTGCCACAAGGTAGTAGTGCAGTACATGTGCTGTCCATGCTGACTGAACCAACACAGTGTATCCACCACGCAATCACCACAAACTAAATTTTACCTGCTGTCCCAAAGTTACTCCATCTTATGGAAGTGAGGGAAAGTGAAAAAATTTCGAATTTGATTATTCAACAGAAATACATGTTTTAAGGTCTCCTGAGTACAAATAACCAAGTCCCACAAAATGATCTGTGTGTGGTGTGTGTGCATGCTTGTGTGTTTGAACCGTCACAACTAGCAACTAGCTCAAAAACGAAAAGTTGTATGAAAGCGAAATTGAATATTTAAGGTTTGTACATACACGGGATGTTACAGCAACTTTTTTGTCGAAATCCGCTAGCCGGAAGTGGTACTTTCGATTTTATACATTTTTATGATTTTCTCAAAAACAGCTCTGATGATTTAAATTAAATTTGTTACATCAGTGTAAAATCAAGCAGCTTTAATATAATGTAGGTTTTATTCTCTCTAACAGAGGTTAAATGGCTAATTTTTAATATTTCTTCCTCTGAAGTACCTTTGACTTTGATTGAATTCGGTATATCAGTGTAAAATTAAGCAGTTTTTAATATAATGTAGGTTTTATTATCATTAGGGGAGCGGGGTAGCTCAGTGGGTGAGCACTGACTTCCTGATTCCAGCTCAAGGTCCAAGGTTCGAATCCGGCTGATGACTAGTAATTTTTCATCAACTGTGGATCAATCCTGGGGCTGGGAGACCCTCCTGTGGCAAACCAGCCTATATAAATTGGGTGCTCTTAATTAAATAATTAATGAAGGAGGAAAGCGAGATATTTGCCCATTACCTCCCAGCACAACTGTTGGCCTTGTAATAGTACTTCCTCACATTGTACTGGACTCAAGACCCTTCATGGGTTGTTAGTGGTACAGTTTTTTTATTTTATTATCATTGATTTTCTCTAACAGGGCTTAAATGGCTAATTTTCAATATTTCTTCCTGTAAAGTACCTTTGATTTTTTTTATTTAAAATGATTAACCATTTAAAAATTAACCCTAATAAAAAAAAATGAAATACAAAATATGAAAGAATTTCATAATTAACTATTGGAGAAATAAGAGATCGTAACGAAGAATAGTTAATAGAATAGGATCAAAAATTAGCTCGCCCCCCCCTGTCCGTTTTTCTTAAATGCTATCATTTGTATTATTTGATATTTAATTGTATAGATTACAGGAATAAAAAAATTTAAATTTGTATATATACCGTTACTTAAACAAATAAAAATACCCACAATGAAATATAAATAAATGTTTCTTCTTTATCAGTGGCACTCTTGTTGGACTAAAAGTATTTCATAACACTTAACTATTTATTATTCTTACTTAATCCATCCTCTATAGCTAGTTCTTCTACCTCCCACCTGCGTCTCATAAGTGAGCCTTGCTAATCTGTTCTGTGGCATCCGAGAGACGTATCCGAACCACCTTAGCTGATGTTCTTCTATTTTTTTCTTTTGCATCCTGCAGACCCAGGTTGGATCGGACAACGGTATTCCTCACTCTGTTT